TATTTTTTATTGAAATATCATTTAAAGTTTATTATGATTACATATTGTAAGGAATATTGCTTGATGCATTCCTAAATAAATGAGGATATTTGATTTTATTATCTGGATGATGATTTGTACATTTTTTATATTTCCTAGATGTTTCATTTTTTTCTTGTTATGTATTAACCTTAGCTAAAAAATATAAATAAAAGTTTTAAAATGAAACATTCTGCACCTAAATAAAGTAATATTTAAGTTTGAGACATTGACTGCAACTTGTGTTGGCAACACAGCAATTCTCCCAAAACATTATTAACCCACAGAAGCCTCACAAACGTTACAACTACATTTAGGTAAATTACAAGACTGTTACAAATTATGGAAAATTCTACTGAACCACAATAAATTGAAACACATTACATTTACACTTCAAAGAAATACCTGCCCTGAAATTTATATCCAAAACAACCAAATTCCTCTGGCGGAATACCTACAATACCTTGGTCTTACCTTTGATAGAAGGATGACATGGGGCCCACATATCAAATTGAAACAGAAGATCCTCAATAGCCGACTTAAACTACTTTACTCACTTTTTTCCAAATCATCAAAACTAGAATTGAGACAGAAACTAAATACATACCTATACTTACTTAAACCAATATGGGCGTACTCCTCAAAAATATACAGTATAGCTAAAAAGACCCACTTACACAAACTTCAAACTTTCCAATCAAAAATATTATGACTTACAACAAAAGCACCTTGGTACATGGCAAACAAAACTTTACATACTGACTTCCTCCTGCCTACAGTTGACCAACAAATAAGAACTCTTTACAAACAATTTCACAATAATTTACACGGACATACTAACATACTAATCAGAGATATGGCTTCAGCTGACATACCCATGAATACAAGGAGGAGACTGAAAAGACACTGGATGAGAGACCTCCTTCCTTAAAAACCATCGTAATTGATCCAAGCCACGGAAGGGGTACTGCTGGGTGCTATCCTTCCCCATGCTTGACATGCCAGAGTTTCGGTACTTTAAACAGACCATCTGCTGATTGTCAACAGTCATCAACAGGTGCAGATTTACATTTAGAGCTAAAAAAAAATTGTTGCTGCATAAATTACACCAACTGTACTAGTCCAATAATTGACTAAGATGAAATAATAACAAACATCACAAATAGAGGATTTTAAATTCATCTTCGACATATTAGAATAACATATTCTTAAACTTTCAAAGTCATCTATATTAGTATTGGATTATTTGTCTATTAACGTAATTATAAATATTATTGATGTCACTTTAAACGTTTCCCTTAATACAATACATTTTCAATATATCAATGATCAACCTCACTGAAGTTTTGTATGCCAATTTAATTAAGGAAAATCTCTATCTTGATCTATGCAAATGTTTTAAGTGAACATATAAATATCTGTCATATTTCTCTTCCAATTTACTATTCCAATCTGGTTTCTAAATAATAATCTTACAAAATTTTATCCCATCATTAAAAACCTTTGAATAACCTTCCACCAAAGTATGAAGTAACCTTCAAGTGTGGAAGTGTGGAATAATCTTCCTTTATCATTCATCATTCTTTCCACTTCAAAGCAAATAAGTTATCTACGTCAACTTTTTCCATTTGAACCTCATAGGCTCCTTATAACATATTTATATTTCTTCACTCTACCTATTGTTCAGCATTTCCTGGCTTCCTTTATCTACCAAGTTATCCAATCCTGCAGTCCATCATACATGCCCAATTTCCAATTCAAATCCTTTTTGCATTCCCACAATATCCGTTAGCTCGTCTTCAGATTTACATGTAACAGTCCACTGAACCTCGGAATTCCATTGAATACCTCTCAACTAAAACATCGTTTAAATAATGCCTATTAGTCACTCCCTATCCATCCAATTCCCAAAGAATTGTTTCTGATCGTAAATTGTATCTTAACTTTTCTTTTTTATACATGTTTTCTTTTTACATTTATAAATACGTGTTTGCTTGATGTTACTTATTATGATTTTATGTTTGTTTCTCCCATTTTTAAATCAATTATCTTATAATTTATTATTATTTCGTAATTTATATTATTTAGTTTTTCTGTTTTGTTTTATTTTCCTTTGCTTGGAGGCTCTGAAGTCCACAATTATTTTCATTTAATATTGTTCTGAGGGACTTGTCCTAGGATAAATAAAGAACTTATTGCTATTATTTTATACAAATTACCAAAAATATGAAACATCGAAGACAAAGAATAAATTTGCAAAAACAGGAAGCATCTAATTCAAAATTTATTTTTTTACTTTGAAACATTAAAATTTGCACTTGCAATATCTATGAATTTTACTATTGGTATAATATATTTGAACCTATTTATGCTAATACTATGATAGATTGCTTATTATTTACAATAACATTTCATAATATTAGGGTGTTCTATAGATTTCTTCTTTTTTTTAATGGCATAGAAAAAGATTTTAAAAGAGTGTGCATTTTGTCACCAACAAAATGCACAGCATGGCATGGAAAAAGTTATGGCACACCATAATATAATAATGATATTACTGTTTACTGCTTTCAAACAATATTGCTGGATCATAAGACTTAATAAAATATCTTTTCTATATCTTAAGTGCTATATCTATATCTCATCTTTTATGCTTTATAATTTAACATATTAATCCTCTTTCAGTCTATTAAAAACTTTAGTTTACTATAAATAAAACAAAATTTCAAAAAAATGAAAAAATGTATTTTCTAATCAGCAATAATTGTGACACATAAAAACTCCTGATCTTATGATTTAAATTTAAATTAATGATTAATGAATAAATGAATGAACTTAGATTTTTAATGTTAGAGGCCAAGATTTCAGACACTGATGGCCTGAGGATCTGTTTGTGAAAGATTTACTTTTGTTAGAGTTTAATCCTTCCTGAAGTAACATTAATTTATGTAATAGTAGTCTATTTGCTATTGTTTCACAAAATAAAGATCAGCGATCCGACTTGATTGATAAAGGTGACAGACAATCTTTATAAAGCTATATTGAAAGCAAGGTTGATATCTTTAAATTATCAAGATAGAGGTGAGCCCTAGTACCCCGATTAAAAGTCAAAAAACAAAGATTATACAGAACTAAGCTAAGCTCAACAAGACCTTAAAATTTATCTTAGATGCAGTACAAGAAACATATTACAGTATCTATAAGAAATAAACCATCATAAAAGTGCGGTTATGAAAAAAAAAAAAAAATGCTCATAATAGTCTGGTAAAGAGATAAATTATTAATATCAAGCATAATCATTTTGGGAAGCTTCACAATAGCGCATCTATAATAAATTAATCATAATAATAACAAATGGTAAATTTATCCCATTGCTTGTGGGTATATAAATGCTCACTTTAGGATATATAAGTATAAAAAATATCTTCACATAATTTTTAATTATAAAAAAATGGTTGGGTTAGCATTTTTTTTTAAATTGTCATTAAAAAAAGATTCCGTGGTTGAAAATTGGTCTCTAGCAAGCACCAAAGAAAGTGGACATGAGTTTTTTAATATCTATCTTTCACATGGGGAGCTTCTCATGTGCTTAAGTAGACCAAAATAGCATCGGTTGGCAGCTGCTGTTCTCCGCTTTATTTCAAGTGTTATCTCATTTTTTGTCGTAATTTGAGATCCCAAATAAGAGAACTGTCGGACATTCTGAAAGGTGTAAAGGCCTAGAGATATACTTTGGTTTTGGGGATTCTCTCCTTCTCCTGTATACATATATTTTATTTTATTCTCATTAATGTGTAGCCTCATCTTAGCTGCAGCTTAATGCAATTCAAGGAAGGCACCATCGAGAACTGCAAAGGACTGTGCAACAATATCAATGTCGTCTGCATAACCTAGCAGTTGCACCATATTTGTAAATATCGTGCACCTAGTCTGAATGCCAGAGTCCCTCACCACCTTCTTGAGAGCCAAATTAAACAATAAACATGCCAAAGCATCACCTTGTCTTAGTTCTTTATTGGTGGGAAACCCCAAGGAACATTCCGAATGAATGCGTACTCGGCACTGTACATCCTGCATTGTCATTTTTACCAGACAAATTAGTTTAGAGGGGATGTTTAGTTCTTCCATGGCTTCATACAACTTGTATCTCCTTATGGTATCGTAGGCGCTCTTGAAGTCAATAAACAGATGATAGGTGGGAATTTTATACTCATGACTTCTTTCCAGAATCGTCCGGAGAGTAAATATTTGATCAATAGTTGATCTACCCTTTCGAAAACCAGCTTCGTATTTTCTAATTTGACAATCAGTGAATGGGGCTATTCTGTTGTAGCTAACTATTTAGTAGATGAACGATGCTGCAGCTCTATAAAACGCTCATCTGGCCAGTTCTTACCTACGGTAGCCAAACATGGACCTTAGCCAAAACTGAAAGATGAAATGGTCTTTGAAAGAAAAATCCTTAGAAGAATATTTGGCCCTGTAAAGGAGGGATTCGATTGGAGAATTCGGAAGAATAGAGAGGTCTACGAATTGTTTAATGAACCCAATGTGGCAAGAATAATAAAATTAGAAAGGTTAAGTTGGGCAGGACATATAGCTCACGTTATAATGTGTAGTGTTATGGTTTTAACCAAGTCAGACATTTTTCAATAAACAAAAAAAAAAATTTACTTTTCTGTGATATAAGTATAGATTCTATTTTCTAGTGTAAAATTTGATTTTATGGATTTACAAGATTTATAAATAAACCATTGATGGACTAATGGAGATTATAGTATGAGTTATCTAAAATAATGATAATTTTATGTTATAAAACTTTAAAATATGAATTTCTTAAACCTTAAATTGGCTCTAATTTAACAGCATATTTTCAGTTTCATGCTATAATCCCAAACATGACTTTTCATAATTAACTGTAAATAATATAATAATATTTTTTTAATTTAAAAAAAAAATTTGTACATGTAGAGGAATTCCTTATTTACTAATAAGTGGCAGGGAATTTATAATAAAAATGATTAATAATGCTTTTATAAACATTTGTATTTATAATATAAAATAACTTTACATTTTAAAAACATAATTACATTCATATACTTGGAAGTGAGTCCAACAAACTGTGGGTTGTCAACTAATATTAAGTACTATATCCTAGTCAAAGAACATTTCTTATTTAAACCTAAAAGCTCATAAACTAGATAAAAATGTCAGTGAAATAAATAAGTTTATTTATATGTTATAACATTATCGTTTATAAACAAAATGTAAACCTCACAACCCAGTATGGAGTAATAGAAAAAATTATAATACAAAGGAGACAATTAACTAACATTTTATTATATGATTTCTTATCAAAGTTAATTAATTAATGCTACATGTTCTCTAGGCTTTGTTATATAATTAAATTCATACAAATTTTACATGAAATTCATTAGTGAGGAAACTCCATCGTTATTTTGAAATAATATAAATTATTTGAAAGACAAATATTCTGAAAAATATGATATAATTTTTTTTCAGTGGAAAATATGTATTTTTTAAAATAGGTTGTAACATTTGATAATTCATTAACACTTACATTAAAGGTAACATCTAAAAATGTGATAATTGTACCAGATAATTCTCTGAAGTCACAGCCTCTATTCCAAATTTTATCTCTCTCCCACATTCATTAACACCTTCAGTTTTTATACCTTGCTACAGGTTAGTATACAATGGTCAAAAGAAGCTGAGACTTCTCTACAGGAGCAAAGATGTTAATAATACCATTAATACTGGGTTGTAGACAAGACTAGGTCATCTTAAGCAACGCTTCCTTGGAAAATGGCTGCCTTTTCTTTGAAAGCTGATCTTCTGAGTGCTTTCTCCTCTTCCTGTCTCCTCCTCTCTTCTTTTTCTTGTCTTATTTCATCTTCAAACTTGCTTCCTCTCCTTAGCTCTTCAATCTGAAATCAATAATATTAATTAATGAGTCAGCTTAAAAGATATTTCTATATTTCTAATGTAATTTATAATAAGTAAGGTCTAAGAGTTTATAAATAAATCCACAGATAATGTTTGATAACTCAAAATTGTTTGATTGTTATTACAACAACACAAAGATGCTTTATTTGCAAAAGATATAATTTGCCATATAAAAACATATTTTGTCATTATACCAATTTGAGTTAGCATTCATTTAATAATGATAAAATTGGTAAATTTCTTGGTAAACACATCAAACATTGAAGTGGGATATAATTAAAATTTTAAAATATTGAGTAGCAGTCAGTATCTAAAGGACCGTTTAAATTACATTGCCAGACCTGAGAAAACAAATTGTGATATAGCGAAGGTGTGACATATAATCTCTCGTCACCAGCAAGTAAGCTGCCTGTAGATGGGTGGGTTCGTTCTCTCTTTCACCCTTCAGTGTAATACTTTGTCAACTATTTCATCCTTCAGTGTTGTGGTTAGTCTGCTATAGTTCACCTGTTGTTTTGCGAGAGCACCATGACTATAGAAACCTCGGTTTTTTTTTTTTGTATTTTTAGGAACTGTTGATGTGCAAAATATCACAAAAATTTGGGCTCCATTGATCTTTCATCTTATAAAGTTATAGGTCAGTTTTTTTTTTAATTACAACTTAACTTTCTGTACCTTTTCTTTGTAGATATTTCTCAAGTTTCTTAAGAAAGAGATTGATTTTTTTATAAATAGATAATAAGCTATTTTGTATCTTTGTCGTTGATATTGAATTAAATGTGTTTTATAAAAATGAATAACTTTTTTAAAATTCACTCAGTTTGGTCGTCACAATCCTCTAACTTTTGGTAATACTAGCACCATCAATTTTTTAATGATTAAAATACTAAGAAGTAATGATGCTGCAAGTTGCACGTAGAAGAAAATATGGGAAAGAGTAGATGGTGTGCCGAAAGTAAGGATAAAGAAATGGAGGAATTGGAGATCGAAAAGAAATTCCGTCCTTCCTCCATTTCACAACATAAGTATGGAAAATTATTTTACATGACCCTTTTTCCTCAGGATCTGTTAATTGAGGTATGGCAATGATGTCTAAGTAGCCCCTAAGATTGAAGTCCACGTCCTTGTGAAATAAGTCATTTGTGCCATATGGAATGTTCTCTACACTATACTAAGTATTTTTTTAAATACTTTTGAATGAAAGGGCTATTATTATAGTTTATGAATATATTAGTAACTATGTTATATAGTTTTGTTGCTGAACCCACTTAAAGTTTGTTTACTGACAGCATTTAACAATGATATACATTTCAGATTCCTTTCGCTGGAGATTTTGGTAAAGGAATTAATGATATACCAAAAGCTATAACGGCAGTTCTAACACAACATTCTTAAAAAAAGAATCACAACAATTATAAGGTTAGTTTGAAATAAATAATATATTTGTTTGTTAATATTTTTCTTCAATTATTTTGAAACTTAATAACATAAGTAGTATTTGGTTATTTTTTTTTTAAATTTCATTCAGTTAATTATTTTTTAAATTTTGACCATAGATTATTTGTACAGATGAATTTATTTTCTTATTTTTTACAAAAAATAATTATGCTGTATTATATTTCTTTACCAAGTATGTTTAGATAAAATGTAATTGTATAAATTTTCTATATGGATATGCTGCTTAGAATAGTTAGAAGTTAGTAAACAACTAATTTATAAAATAATGTTTTCTCTTTTTATTTGATGTAGTATAATTAAGAATAATTAAATTACTCATATAATTTAAGTTTTAAATTCATACCTTAGCTTCAAAGAAATTTTTCGCTCCACCGACTCCAACTTGATCAACATCTATCTCGGTCAGCTTAGCAAGTTGTGATAGACCACTTTCTTCAATCAGTTCACCCGCTTTAGCCTTTCTGAATATCAGCATAAACTGTAAATTTAATAAAATTGTATTTCTCGTTTATAAATTATAATGATATTTTATTGTATGGTGAGAATGTTTTAAAATAAGAGTGTTTGCAATCTCTTATTGAGGTGGTAATAAAGCATTTACCAAAGCTGATTGAAATAGAGTACATCCTCATATTAGGCTTAATCAAAGGGAGTGCTGGTGAGGCGCTGTAACTTATATAAGGTCTATTCTATCAATGGAATGGATGTTGCTATACAATCATGAACAGAATAATGACAGTAATTTTGACAATTATTAATTATTAGCAGTGATATTATTAATATTCAATGTAAGAGATGGATGTGTGTTATATTTATCTGTACATGATTAAATATTTCAATCATAATTTCTTTATATGCAGTAAGTTCTAGTCCATAAGCACCAGCATTTAGAAAATATAGGGGGGAGGGACAAAGGTTAGAACATTTATAAAGTAGTAGTCCAATCATAATACATATATAATTATCATAATATAATACAATTATTGCTTGTATAACTTATTGAAATTTTTATTAACAATTTTTAAGTAAATGAGAAGCCAGAGAAACTCTTTTAATTTTAAGAAAATCATGATAGATTTTTGAGAAAATAATATCATTTTTTAATTTGACAATTTTTCTATGAGTGTAAAATAAATTGGAAAAAAACATTCCTCCAAAACCCATATAGAAACTTATGAAATCACAATTTCAAAAACAAAAGCAAAATGGTATTTGTACCTTTTGGAACTGACATTCTTAATTCATCTTAATTAAATAAATTACAAATTAAATAACTGATATTTTTCTCTTCTTCAACAATATTTCATAGTCTTAAAATATTGAAGTTTTGGTTTTAATTTTAATTTTTAGAAAACCTCTCTAAAACTCATTTAAAAATATCTCAAAATTAAACCCTCATATTTATCAATAACCAATATTTTAATTGTGAACTATAATAATTACTTTCAGGTTTAGACTGCTAATTAATTATCAGGTTTTGTAATTGTTCCAGTTGTTTTCTTTTTAAACAAATTAATATAACACATGCTTTATTTGAATGTTTAATTATCAGTATTTAGAGAAATGTAAACAAGGAACAACCCGTTATTGAGAATTAATTTTTTTCTAACCGTATGGTCAATTTTAAAGTGATCATTTTTGTAGTGAATTTTGAAATGTGAAATGAGGTTATATCAGTAAATAAGCAGACTAGTTATTCATTTTCAATGAAAAAGTAATACAAAATGTTGAGATATTTTTAGCTATAATTCTGTTCTATAGAATGCTCTATAGAGATATCTCTTTTAGACAGAAGCAAAAAGTAATGACAGGAATAGAAAAATAGAAGTGAAAATATTCAAAAGAGGAATAAATGAAATAAAGTTATTCTTTTTTTTTCAGCCAGTTCACGTCGCTGGCATTCATATCAGAGTTTTTTCTTTCTTTTTAAAACATTTCCAAGAGCCTCAGTGATTTTTTAAAATTATTTGTTTCATAGCTACAGTGAATCACAATTAATCACAACAAACAATGATCCAATGTGAAAAAATAAATGATTTATTGCTTAATCTTTTTAGGTAAAACCAAAAGGTATAGATTATAATAACCTTTTGAAATGTAATTTGACTTCATTTAAAGTTTAAGATTGTAAAATTTGTTTGAAATTGATTTACTTCATTAAGTAATAAACTACTTAACTAAAAACTTAAAAGATTTCAGAAAGATCTAGAGTGAGAGGTTTCAATAAGATTTAAAATATTAATAGATATATTATTAAAGTATATGGGACTTAATTGATGACTTTTTGTAGATATAAAAGCAAAAACAAAATCCTTTTTCAAAACTCTTCTTAATTTTTTGTAGAATAGTTGTTAATGAAGAAATAAAAGGTCATTTGAGTTTGTTACCGTACAAATCTGAAAATCTCTTATAACTGAACAAAAAAAGATTGTGATACTGTATAGTTATATTACACTAAAATTATTAACAGATATCGTTACTGTCCTTCAAAATAAAGCAAGTAACGGGATTTGATGAACTAAGTCAGCCTATATTTCTTTATAATACTTAATTTGAATAAAATGGAGATTAAGATCTCAGGTTTTAGAGAGGATGAGAAAAAAATATGTCACATTATTTTTTAAAAAATATATAAATAAAAAGTAATAACCTCTCTGAAGCTGATTTTATTATCGCCATCTTCATCAACTTCTTTGATCATTCCTTTCAGGCCAAGGTGGGTCTGGGGGGCTCCCAACTTTTCCATCATTCTTTTCAATTCTGTTAAATCAAGGTAGCCGTCTCGACCTTCGTCATATCTGAAATCATTCAATAACTTTTGTTAGTTCTTTATCACTATTATAAAATATGGCATAAATAACAAATAATTGGAAGGCGTTTGGAATAACTAGATCATTCCATAAAATATGGAAAAAAGAGTGATAGGTGATTTTTTAATCGGATTGGTGCTAACTATTTCAACAAAAAAGTACCATCGCTTAGTTCTTTGCCAGAATATCGAGGTTGAAAAAGAATATTCGAGAAGAATATGACAATGTGAGAAAAAAAACACAATAAATTTATTTTTAATCTATCTATTGATACATGATAGTTAGTTGATAGATCTATTGGACTGTAGTTGTGTCTCTTTATAAGCAAGAAGATACAGCTAAAATGCTACAGCCATCGAGAAATATTAAAGTTGAGTGTGCTGATCAAGCTCTACTCAAGAATCTTAGAAATTAAAATAAGAAGAATTGTTGATTGCCACAGGGATATGGATTCAGAAACTCAAGTTGCACATAGGTGCTATCTTCACTATGAGACAGGTTATAGATAAGTCCATCAAGAAGGAGAAATAACTCTCTATTTGTTTATTGTCCCAAACCCTGGGTTGTGCCAATATCAAATTGTCTTTCAGAAGAACTCTTCTGTTTTCTTATTTCTGATTCTTCTAAAGATCTTTTCCAGATTCACTAAGTAGATACAGATATATTTATTTTTCTCAGTGGACTTCCCTATAATCTGCTTCAAAGTAAAGATAGTCCCAATCTGGGACTTGAGTAGCAATAAAAAATAAAATCATCTTTATCAGAATAAACCTCCATCGTCTCCTTAATCTCATCCGAACTGACCCATATTCCTTCCGCCAAAAAATGTTTCTATCATTATCTTTGTTATATTTTAAGAGATTTTGATGATACTTTCCTCGCCTCCATAATATATGTTTCTAATTTTCTGTTTCAATTTCGCGTTTTCCCATTTTGAGGATAAATGCCTCCAACTATTTCCGCAAACTTAAAAGAACACTTAGCTTTGTTCCTTTTCATCTTTTTTCTGGCATAGAGAATAAAGCATTTATTATTAAAATTGTACATTGTTTTTGATATGGCCCAACCTCAGAACAAACTAAATGTATGTCCATTTTGTGGTACTGTGCTCACTTTTTTTGTAGAAACATCGGATTTTTTAAAATAAATGGTTGCAAGAAGCACAATGATATGAATATTATAGGAATATGCGGGGAGAAGAGAGGGGAAGTGGATGGTAGCTGGGCCTATGGACTATAAGTGACCTTTCACTATGAGATTATATTGTTTTCAAAATATCAAAATTGGTTATTAAATTAGCTTGAAGGGATTTTTTCATAAAGTGCTTGTTGCTAATTTAGAAATTAAAAATGTTACTTTGGAAATAAATTTACCAAAACACAAATAATATTTATTTTTTAATAAGGCTCAAAATGTTTCAATAAAGGCCAGTTTCTAAAAAATAAAATTTAAAGGCATTGATTTCGGAAATTTTATTTAAAAAATTAGCTTATGATATTAGTTTTGTTGAACAATACAAGTAAAATTCGAATTTAAGAAACCATTACTAAAGATTCTACAGCTTGAAACATCAGCTTCTATACCTTCAATTTGCTTTATCCCCTATCGTTTTATTGTATTTCAAATAATATTCTTGTATTAGAAAAATTCTCGGCTTGCGGCATTTCTTGGTTATAAAGTATAATAGTTATACAATCCATTCATATGTTACAAAGAAGCGTAAAAACCATTATATTCGTAGCAAAAAGAATCCTGATAGTTCTAAATTTATCGTTTCTAGGTCTGAGTGGGATGGCTCCAGGTATATGCGGACGGATTTAGACTCAAAATAACCAAACACGGTCCGCTGGAGAGGATAAAAAAAAATACCTCCTTCGTGGATAATTATTTATACTCGGCCTAACACATGACAGACCGCTGCAATGAAGGCCAGAATATTAGTACTTCGGGGAAGAAAAAAATGTTTTGTTCCCAAAGCTGTTCATCTAAGTTTTTCATGTGAAGAAATTTCAACGTTAAAGAAATTTCTAATGCTTTATTTTTTAAAAACATTGTAATTTGTTTACAAATTCACAAATTTAACATAGATTAAAAAAGTCAGAGAGAGAGAGAGAGAGAGAGAGAGGGGGTAGGGAGGGAGAGAATAAAACAAATCAAGAATGAAGATTGACATAAATATATTAAAATTTTATGAATCCGGCTGTGGCAGATAATTATGTATTCTGTTACATTAGACGTGGTTACACTTTAAGAACGAGAGATGCCCTGTGGCGCATCCAGCCTCTATAAAGTGGGTCCCCTTAATTAAATAATTGGTTAGAGAGAAAAAAACTGATGGTTTAACGTGATCAAATCACTTTCTTACACGACCGTCGACTAACCAACAGTACTCCTTACAAAGCAGTGGCGGCGGAACCACAAATGTTTTGAGGGAGGAGGGGCGCTTTTTTCAAAAAAAGTGAATTCTATATAACAAAGGTGTATGTATATATACGAAAAGAAACGTGTATTTTAGTATTTTGTTTCGTCTAGTATTTTGGCGGTAAAAATTCTTTAACGGGATAATTGAAGTCTAGGAACCACGACATTTTTCCACTAATTCATAATTTTAGAACCTAATTAAATAGACAAAGTTTGCTGATCTCCAGATTGAATACGCCCCAATTCCAAGAGTTTCCTTAAATAAAATAGTTGTAGGTTAGGATGAGATGAAGATATTCACGAAGTTTCAGAAGGATGATAATAATTTGATATAAAGGGGTTTGAACCACGAACTGTAAATAATAAACAAAATGATGGAAATATTCTTGACTTTAGGTGTAACCATTTTTTAATATAGGGTCAATCCATTTGAAACCACCCAGACCATGTTGCTCGACATTTTTTATTTTTATTATTTTTTTTATCAGTTATCCCATATTTATTTGAGAGTTCAAAACTGTATTTGACAAAAATTTAAGGCTCACAGTTTTTTCTCGGCGGCCATTTTTAATTTTCTTTTCGTCTGAAAACACGTTTTGAGAAAACGCCTGTAATTCTGGTTATTTTGTAGATGTCAAGCCAAAATAAAAACTTAAATAATTTCGAGTATTTTTTTCTAAATTTCTGTTGATCTGTATATCACCTAAAAAGAAAGGAAAGTGGTTTAAATAAATCATGAAAATAGACAAAATGACTTTTAGGGCTGCAAAAGTGTAATAAAGAAAAGTCTCAACTTTAATTTTATCTTCATTAGTTATCGAGAAAAAAATGCAGTATATACTGCATGTTTTTATACAATTTTAATTCTATTTCTGATATCTTTGATTTTCGTCCTTATATTTTTAAAGGCAATTCACATTTGTACTAACTTACATTTCCCCTAGACTAAGTTCATTCCAGTATTCTACGGTTACCTCACGGAGATATTGCGCGTCTCTCTGTTATAAAATTTTCTGAAAGTTAAATCATTAGGAATCTATTAACTTAAAAAAGGATTATTTTTTTTTCCGATCATGAAGCTTCTGTCATATTTTTTTCGAACCGGAAATTCAGCTGTCTCTCAAAAACCAATCATTATTACAATTAATTATGGTATAAAAATAGAACTATACCCTATCATGTTTTACTAAAATGTTTACGTGAAAGAGTGAATTTTTAAAAAATTGTCTGAACAATACTAATGCAAAGTTCCTGACAACTTCGCTAGGCATTCGACTGTTTGACTGTTTGACTTGTGCAAAGCAACCCTGGATCCATTTGTCCAGTCCTACGGATCGCATGCAGTTACCTTCAACATGGATTCCCTACTAACTCTATTTCCATTGCAAAGCACCTTGAGCCCTCAGCTGCCATGTTGGACTTGCCCCTCTCCTCGTATATATTATCGATTCCATCCGTTACAATCTAAAGTCAATTAGTGAGATGTCTGTACAATTTACATACGTCTTTAAAAATGGAGAACTGCGACTGGTATGCGGAACGAACAAAATAGTGCAACATTATCAGTTAACATAATAATCCGAAGCCCCACTTCTGTTCAAGACTTGGTAAGCCGTGGGAGGAAAAGTGGGTTTAACTAGTGTCGGCTATTTGTAGGTTTCTACTCGAGCTGGTTGTGAGAGTTCTTCAGAAAATACATACGTCGACTCTCTTTGATTTGAATATCGCCATTGCAAATTTTTAATCCTCCACTCTAGGGATTATAATTGAATATTTTCAGCGAAACAGTGAATACAACATCTTCAAACAATTATAAAAGCACATATTAGAGAGGAAATTGAAACAGAGGCGTTGTTTGGGCTGAATTGATAATGTCAGGGTGCCTTTTTTCGTTCCTGAAAAGTGTTCATTTTCAGACTCGATAGTTAGCATATGTGTCGACTATATCAATGATTATTTCTCAATTCCTTTAGAAGGCATTTATAAAATAAAAAGACTAATTAAAAAATGAAGATAAAACAGAAATAAAATAAGTTTTATTTCAATCAGTTTTCCGTTTTCAAGAAAAATTTCAATCAGAAATACTATAAAATCACCAAGTTGCCAAAATCGAAGCGATAACAAAGACTTTTTTACGATTTATCATGATATGTATGATGAAAGGTGCTTTTTTTGTTTTTGTTTAGTTAAAATTATTATATCAATGTGAATCTTGTATTTTTATATTCTGTAATAAACTTATATACATTTGTTGTACACTAATATGTATATAAACGATATTTTTGTCTCTCAGTAATTTGTTGTTTATATTTGCTGCTATTTTATTAAAAACTTTCCTGATAGAAGGAGGGAGGGATACCGCTGCGATACCTTGTCATTAAATAAAAACTTTTAAAAACATTTAATTAATTAATATTTGATTAATAGGACTCTTTATTTTATCGCACAAAATAAATAGCAATATAATTTCTTAATCATTACAAAATTTCATTAAATTACATCGTATTTTATTTATTTGTAACGTTCCAGCCTTATTTTGACCATTTAAAAAAAAATCCTTTTTACAT